AAACTATCACACAACCAAGGCTTCATTTGGCACGCATGATTGAATTGGATTGTTATCTTGCCTAAAAAGTACGAGTGCCTGATCTGAGAGCTTTGGTTGATATGCTGCTTTGGAGTGGCCACATGAAAGACAAACTCACATCCTTGGATGGCGGGTTGAAACTCATTGGGGTCATATATGTCAGCTTGGAACAGCAACAATTTGGTGTCTGCATTAGGGAGAGACTTGATAAGGCCTACTTTGGATGCATCCTCTGCATCATATATGGAGACCATACATAGTACAGATAAGAGGGTTGCACAGATAAAATACAAGCATGCATAGCAGTTTCATAGAGAGAGAGAGAGAGAGCAACCTAAGTTCCTCAGAGTGGCATGGACAGTATGGCCCTGCTCTAGGAGTTTTTTAACAAGTGAACAGCCAATGAATCCAGCAGCCCCTGTAACACAAACTCTAGAAATTTTGTTCTTCTCCATTGTTGCCTTTGATTTGGGAAACATGTCATACAGAATATATGGGTCCTAACCAGCCATTGCCAAGAAGTCCAGCAAAACTTACCAATGTCATAGACTCATAGACACACACAAAAACAAACAAAACACAAAAAACAGAAAAACATATGCAATTGATGCTGACCCCTTTGTCAATTGATTTCGTCAACATATGCAAATAGCTGGTACTTGACAACATCCCCAAAGTTGAAGCCAACCGGGAGCCGACCCGGTAGGTAAGTCACCGTCTTGACCTAATTACACTTATTTTGGTTCACAAAACATGAGAGTAAATTAGCTTATGTCGTGCATTTAAACTCTACATGTCGTTTTTCTTGGTTTGGTTTTATTCTAGTACCATTCTTTGCTGCTTAAAAATCAAACATAATGATTTAGTGTTAATTAATCATCTTGTGTTATAACATAGGGCAAATATCTATTGCTGGCCACTGCCTGTTTGCACTTGTTATGTTAGCAGGACTTAATGGTCCCTTGACACATTTAGACAAGGATTACTAAGGCTTCATTTCGCAGGCTGAAAGTAAGATTGGATTGGATTCTCATCCCACGAACTTCTACTTATCCATTGTAATATCTCAAATTTTTCACATCTATTATTCTTTCATTTTTTTGGTCATATTTTTCTCTTGTGTTCAAGATGGTACATAACATTAGGTATAATAATGCCTAACCGTAACGTGTCCTTTCTTCTATTGAATAATGATTAGCCCCAAGGAAAGAATCCAAGTTATTTATTTATTTTAAAAAGAGAGAGAGAGAGAGAGAGAGAGAGAGAGAGAGAGAGAGAGAGAATGCTATACTCTTTCAAATAGTCGCGTGCTCATATTATAGCCATAGCTGAATTGCAAATATTTCAATTTCTTTCATAACAAATAAACCATAAAAACATGCTTGGATGAAAATTTGGAAATTGAAACGTTGGGAGAAGGATAGTCAGTCAGGGTTACATTACACTTGGAAAACATATAGGGGCCAAAGCCAAGCTGGGCACTGTCTTGTATCATATATATAGGGAGCTTCATTTGAGGGATCCCTCAAATAAGTATTTGAGGGACACTCTTGTAGGGTTCACTCCGTATTGTATTTCACTAATTTTAGATACTCATTCAAAGGTCATCTCTAAAAAAAATCACTTGAATCCGATATCATTTGGCCACTCAATTGAATTATTGAAATTTTAGTATTTTCTTAAAGCACCATGCTCATTGATTCTGTAGGACACAATTGGATATCAAAACGGTTTCCGATTTGTCTACGTTTTTGCAAGGATGATCTATGAATGTAAACTTAAAAAATTGATTGTTTGGATTGTTGAAAAAAAAATTCGTAGGGGACCCTCAATAGATGGGGATTGATATATATAATACAAACCGTAGTCGAAACTACAAGGAAATGGGGGTTTTTCACATACACATTACCAAGGTGCCATGGGGATTCAAACCTGATATTGGTCTACAAGTCAATGCCTTTTTTCATTTAGCCAAACCTCGTTGGCTTGTATTATTGTACTATATTATATATTGTTGGAATTGAGTTTACAAACTAATAATACCCAATAAATGTGGGTGATAAGTTTACAAACTTGATCACACTTATCACTTTTCACTCTCAAAGACATTGGGACCAAGACGCAAAGAAAGAAACAAGTATTTGAGGAAAGAAATACTCTAATATACTGAAGAGTTACTACTGTTGCTTGCTCATGTACTTCAACTTGAATGAGATGCATAAAATGTAAACACTCATATTCCTTTCACAGGAAACACCAAAGTCTTCGTAGAAAGTAAATGCTGTGGTGGAAGAAAAATCATACACTGTTGCACCCAAGTTCAAAGAAACTGCTGCAAATGTGAATGTAAAAAGCTTGTGAGTAAAAATGTGCTGCACACAAAGACCAACCATGTGCTTTTCATTTTTAGCTGCACTTCCAACATATGTAGAACCATAGACTTGTTTGCCAATAAAAGACTTTGAAACCAAATTACTTCAACTCCAAGTCCAACAATGGGATACTACCGGCCTGTTTTCTCTCCAAAATGTTTTCTCATTTTAGTCATCACTCTATTTTTCTGCTGTTTTGCAACTGCAAAAACCAGGAACAGTTTGGAAAGAGGCTCTTCTCTTTCAGTGGAAGATGATTCTGATTTCCTAATCTCCCCAGATAAGTCTTTCACATGTGGGTTCTATGGAATGGGCACAAATGCCTATTGGTTCTCCATATGGTTCACAAATTCTAAGGACATAACCGTCGTCTGGATGGCTAACAGAGATAGGCCAGTCAATGGCATGGGGTCCAGAGTTTCACTGAGTCGAGATGGCTCCATGGTCTTGAGAGATGTGGATGGCACAATTGTCTGGGAGAGCAGTACCAACTCCACTCCCACTGGTGCTGAAAGGGCGGAGCTTTTGAATTCTGGCAACCTTGTTTTGAAAGACTCACAAGGTAAAACTCTCTGGCAAAGCTTTGATTTTCCCACTGATACTCTCCTCCCAAATCAACCCCTTACAAAGAGCATGAAGCTAATATCTATGTTGGGAAGAGGGAGCTTCGGTACTGGCTACTATAGTTTTTATTTTGATAATGACAATGTTTTGAGGTTGATTTATGATGGTCCGGATATGACAAGCGTATATTGGCCTAATCCTAGTTACAGGGTACTTGATAATGGTAGAACAAACTACAACACTAGCAGAATTGCTGTTTTTGATGAAATGGGAAATTTTGTCTCAAGTGATGACTTGAAGTTCAGTGCTTTTGACATGGGTGTGAGAGTAAAAAGGCGGTTAACGATGGATTACGATGGAAACCTGAGACTTTATAGTCTCAATGGTTCAACAGAATCATGGGTGATCACCTGGCAAGCTCTTACGCAGCAGTGCAAGGTGCATGGGATCTGTGGAAGAAATGGGATTTGTGTCTATACATCAGAGCGGCCAAAGTGCTCATGCCCTCCTGGATATGAGGTAGCTGATACAAGTAACTGGCACAAGGGTTGCAAGCCTAAGTTCGAGCCTACATGCTCACAGTCCCAGCAATGGAAATTCATACAGATTCAGCATGCAGATTTCTATGGATTTGATCTCATTTATTATGAATCCATTTCTTTTCTCCATTGCCGAAAAATATGCTCAGAGGATTGCCGTTGTGAAGCATTTAGCTATAGGGAAGGCAGTTGTTACACAAAAGTTGATCTCTTCAATGGGTACGTGTCTCCAAATATTCCGGGCGGTATTTACTTAAGGCTGCCTCAGAGTGCGGATACGTCACCACCCACAAATCCTAATGTCTTTAATACGTGCAGGATCAATGTGTCAACTACCACCAATACCAGTAAAAGGGATAGATGGATATATCTGTATTCTTTTGCTTCTGCAGTTGGTGCAGTCGAATTTCTCTTCATATTATCAGGTTGGTGGTTACTTTTCAGAAGATCACATGGTGTGGCACCTCCCCTAAAAGATGGATATGCTTTGCTTTCAAGTCAATTCAGAATGTATCTCTATGCTGAGCTCAAGAAGGCAACCAAAAACTTCAAAGAAGAGCTGGGAAGAGGGGGCTTCCGGAGTTGTATATAAGGGTGTTCTGGCAGATGAAAGAGTGGTAGCTGTCAAGAAATTGGCAGATATTTATAAAGGAGAAGAAGTATTTTGGGCAGAAGTAAGCACAATTGTGAAAGTCAATCACATGAACCTAGTGAGAACATGGGGATTCTGTTCTGAAGATAAACACAGACTTCTAATCTCTGAGTACGTTGAAAACGGATCATTGGACAAGCATTTGTTCCCCCCAAATTTCCTTGGATGGAAAGAGAGGTTTAAAATTGCACTAGGGATTGCTAAAGGTTTAGCCTATCTTCACCATGAGTGTCTAGAATGGGTTATTCATTGTGATGTGAAGCTTGAAAATATACTCCTAGACAGTAATTTTGAACCAAAAATTGCAGATTTCGGCCTGGCAAAGTTATCCCAGAGAGGCGGCCTCAATTCAGTATCCTCTCACATTCGAGGAACAAAAGGGTATATGGCCCCGGAGTGGGCTTTGAACCTTTCAATCACTGCAAAAGTGGATGTTTACAGTTACGGAGTGGTGCTTCTAGAGATATTGAAGGGCATTCGACTTTCGAATCGGGTGGTGGAGAATTCTAAGGAGGAGGAAGCAGAGCTGAAGAGGTTTGTCAAGGTAGCCAAAAGGAAGATTCAATGTGGTGAAGATCAATAGATGGAGGATATGTTGGATCCAAGATTGGAAGGGCAATTCAGAAGGAACAAAGCAGCAAAGATGGTTGAGATTGGTATTTCCTGTGTGGAGGAAGATAGGAACAAAAGACCAACAATGGATTCAGTAGTGCAAATGTTACTAGAATGTGAAGAGGAACCCAACATTCAGCAGTAATTGCATCTAAGATGCTCATGTCCATTCTTGGTTTGGTTTTAGCTATTAAACTTGCTCTTGCTTTTTTTAGAAGTTTACTTGTATTGCAATTTGTATTATTTACAATTGAGAGATGATTATATAGATGTATAATGAACGCTGCAAAGCTCGTGTCGAGAATATCCATCCACACATAATGCAGTGACACAAATTACATTACTTTAGTTCTGATCAAAACAAAAGGTTAAATTAGTTGAGAATGAGAGCTACTACTTAACCTCCGTCCACTTGCTACACTATCATCTAGTATGTTCTTGACGCCATACTTATACTCAAAACCCATCTTCATCAGCTTACTGAAGTCACATTTGCTTCCTTCTTCTGGTCCTTCGATGAATCTGAAATGAATTCGCACATTCATGATCGATGAAAACAGATAAAATTGCTGGTGTTAAAAGTTCAAAAGTAAGGAAATCTTTCAAAAAATGAAATTAAGTTGGATCCTTACTCTTTTGCTATTTTGTGTTCTGGGTAATTTTCTTGGAAGTAGCTTGCAATTTCTTTGATGGTCGGACTGGCAACAGCGCAGCAGAATCTACCTCTCATGGATGGTTGTTCCATGCAGAAGATATGTGCTTGGCAAACATCTTCAATGTGTACAAGAGGAACCGAACCGTTAACTTCTTGCATCAATTGTAATGCATTGTAACCAAAGGAGTCCCCGGTAAGTTGTGATATAACTACTCCCACACTTAAAGGCAAATATGACAGAAGAGTTTCTCCTCCCACTAAGCCACAAGGAAGTGTTACCACTTCCAGTTTACCATTATCACTGTCATTATAGCTCAGCACTGCTCTCTCTGCTAATGTCTTTGATATGATATACCCCTAGAGCACATTTCCAGATTAAAATCAAACATAAGGATTAATATTAATTAAGCAAACACAAGGTTGATTTCAAGAGCCAGTTTCATAGACAGAACAAGAAGAGGTACCATTGAAAATTCAGTTGAATGAGTAGGTGAGACATCAAGAGGTGTCCAACATGATTCATCGAGGCAGGGTTTGAATCCAACCCCATCTTCTCTCCTCGGAGACACAGCAAGGATGCTTGCAGTGTAGATGAGTCGCTTAACAGTCTGTGAACGAATGCAAGACTCGGCAATGATCCTCACCCCAGCAACAGCAGCTTCAGCTGTGTCCTTGTACTGCATGTATGTTCAAATTCTCAAACTGTCAAGCACCAGATTTCAATAATCAAACTCTCACACAAGAAAGAAAACCAAGGCTTCATTTCGCGCCCGAGAATGAATTGGATTGTTGTTCAAGATTGTACTAAGTGGACTAAGCTATCCCAGCCCTTTTGTTTGAACATCTTATCCTACAAACATGATATTAGACTATTTATAATTTGCCTGGCAAAGTTATCCCAGAGAGGCGGCCTCAATTCAGTATCCTCTCACATTCGAGGAACAAAAGGGTATATGGCCCCGGAGTGGGCTTTGAACCTTTCAATCACTGCAAAAGTGGATGTTTACAGTTACGGAGTGGTGCTTCTAGAGATATTGAAGGGCATTCGACTTTCGAATCGGGTGGTGGAGAATTCTAAGGAGGAGGAAGCAGAGCTGAAGAGGTTTGTCAAGGTAGCCAAAAGGAAGATTCAATGTGGTGAAGATCAATAGATGGAGGATATGTTGGATCCAAGATTGGAAGGGCAATTCAGAAGGAACAAAGCAGCAAAGATGGTTGAGATTGGTATTTCCTGTGTGGAGGAAGATAGGAACAAAAGACCAACAATGGATTCAGTAGTGCAAATGTTGCTAGAATGTGAAGAGGAACCCAACATTCAGCAGTAATTGCATCTAAGATGCTCATGTCCATTCTTGGTTTGGTTTTAGCTATTAAACTTGCTCTTGCTTTTTTTAGAAGTTTACTTGTATTGCAATTTGTATTATTTACAATTGAGAGATGATTATATAGATGTATAATGAACGCTGCAAAGCTTGTGTCGAGAATATCCATCCACACATAATGCAGTGACACAAATTACATTACTTTAGTTCTGATCAAAACAAAAGGTTAAATTAGTTGAGAATGAGAGCTACTACTTAACCTCCGTCCACTTGCTACACTATCATCTAGTATGTTCTTGACGCCATACTTATACTCAAAACCCATCTTCATCAGCTTACTGAAGTCACATTTACTTCCTTCTTCTAGTCCTTCGATGCTTTCAATGAATCTGTGATGAATTGACACATTCATGATCAAAGAAAATGAGTAAAATTCTGGAGTTAAAAATCAAAAGTAGTCGAAATCTGTCATAAAAAAATGAAATTAAGTTGGATCGATACTCTTTTGCTATCTTGTGTTCTGAATAATTTTCTTGGAAGTAGCTTGCAATTTCGTTGATATTCGGACTGGCAACTGCACAGCAGAATCTACCACTCATGGATGGTTGTTCCATGCAGAAGATATGTGCTTGGCAAACATCTTCAATGTGTACAAGAGGAACCGAACCGTTAACTTCTTGCATCAATTGTAATGCATTGTAACCAAAGGAGTCCCCGGTAAGTTGTGATATAACTACTCCCACACTTAAAGGCAAATATGACAGAAGAGTTTCTCCTCCCACTAAGCCACAAGGAAGCGTTACCACTTCCAGTTTACCATTATCAATGTCATTATAGCTCAGCACTGCTCTCTCTGCTAATGTCTTTGATATGATATACCCTTTGAACACATTTCCAGATTAAAATCAAACATAAAGATTAATTTTAATTAATCAAGCATTAAGACCCAATTTCATTCACAAGCAAGAAGAGGTACCATTGAAAAATCAGTGGCATAAGTAAATGAGACATCAAGAGGTGTCCAACATGATTCATCGAGGCAGGGTTTGAATCCAACCCCATCTTCTCTCCTCGGAGACACAGCAAGGATGCTTGCAGTGTAGATGAGTCGCTTAACAGTCTGTGAACGAATGCAAGACTCGGCAATGATCCTCACCCCAGCAACAGCAGCTTCAGCTGTGTCCTTGTACTGCATGTATGTTCAAATTCTCAAACTGTCAAGCACCAGATTTCAATAATCAAACTCTCACACAAGAAAGAAAACCAAGGCTTCATTTCGCGCCCGAGAATGAATTGGATTGTTGTTCAAGATTGTACTAAGTGGACTAAGCTATCCCAGCCCTTTTGTTTGAACATCTTATCCTACAAACATGATATTAGACTATTTATAATTTAAAAAAACATGATATTAGACTAATTAAGTCCAATCCCATATGTTATAGCTAGTATGAGTGTGTAACCTGAGAGCTTTGGTTGTTATGCTGCATCGGAGTGGCCACGTGAAAAACAAACTCACATCCTTGGATGGCGGGTTGAAACTCATTGGGGTCATATATGTCAGCTTGGAAAAGCAACAATTTGGTGTCTGCATTAGGGAGGGACTTGAGAAGGCCTACTTTGGATGCATCCTCTGCAGCACATATGGAGAAAAAAGATACCATAAGAGGGTTGCGCATATAAAATATAAGCATGCGTATCAGTTTCAGAGAGAGAGAGAGAGAGACCTAAGTTCCTCAGAGTGGCATGGACAGTATGGCCCTGCTCTAGGAGCTTTTTAACAAGCGAACAACCAATGAATCCGGCAGCCCCTGTAACACAAACTCTAGAAATTTTGTTCTTCTCCATTGTTGTCCTTCGTCTTTTTTCAGTGAATGCTATCTGGGTGCGTGATTCTATGAGAGATAGTTAGTTATATATCCATTCTTAGCACTAGTGATATAAATAAACCCTATACCATTTAATTTTTATAAACAAACCCAAAAAATGACAACTGACCCTATTGAATTTAATTTTGATTATTAAATTACTTTGATACCTATTGAGTGTCTTGGGTTTTTCTTATGAGGTTTTGAGGTTGTGCTTGTTTTAAAAAATTCATGGTAGTTTTGTAATTTATAGGAAGTTCGAAGCTTTTTTGTTATGTTGTAAATGAGCTTTGTGTGTGTTTCTAAAGTCCATTTCATGTGGGATTTTTTTTTATAATTTGGGCACCTATATTGGGTATAATAGTGAATCTCTCATTTTATAATTGGTCTTTGGTCCCCCCAAAAACCAAGATATGATCAATAAGTGTTACCCCAATCTTACACGAAAAGGTCATAAGATCCTCACCCATTTTTTCAATTGATGCTTACGCGGATGTCTTTCGTCCACATGACAAGATTACATATCGTTCTTCACATCACAAGAGTTGAAGTCTACAGGGTCCGCTAAGGTTTGGTTGGCGGACCCGGCCTTGCACTTATTTTGGTTTTATTCTACTGCTGCCTAACTTTTCATATATAAATGTTACAATGAAAAATGCTGCAAGCTTTTATGTCAGTATATCTATCCCCACATAATGCAGGGATGCTAATTAAATTACCTGAGAAAAAGAGCTCCAAATGAAAAGCCTTCCACATGCTACACTGTCATCTAGTACATCCTTCATGCCATACTTATATTCAAACCCCATCTTCATCAGCTTAGTAAAGCCACGTTTGGTTCCTTCTTCTGGTCCTTGAGTCAATCTGAAATGGAATTCAGTCATAAAATCTATGAAAATGGGAACATTGGCAGAGCCAAAAGTTCAAAACTAGACATATTTTTCATATAAGTTATGAAGATTGAAAATTAGGTTGGATCCCTTACTATTTTGCTATCTTCATATTGTATTCTAGGTAGTTTTCTTGGAAGTTGTTGGAATTTAGGAGGTGTGTGATGAGTGTTTGTGGTGGTACCGTTGTTGGTTTATGTGGTGAAGAGATTTCGAACAGTAGGACAATAGTTGAACAAAGTAATTTTATTATATTTGGAGAAGAATAGTATATAGTTTGGTGTAGGCTAATTGGCCTCCTTCTTAGCTTATTGACTTATTGGCTTATTGGCCACCACACTTGATTTAGATTAGTTTGGCTATTTGGCCCTAGCTTGAGCTCTTGTCTTCAAGCTTCTTCCATAGGTTGGGTAGCTCACATGTAGCTCTCTCGTGGATTGGGAGTTGTAGTGGTTAACTCCCACCACCTTTAGTTGATTAGCTAGATATCTAGCTTTATTGCTTAGTTTCCTAGCTTTTTTAGCTTAGGATTTTAGGTAGCTCTTGGCTCCCTTATAGTTTGGGAGTTCTTTTTGTTAGCCTCCATATTGCTTTATTGCATTGCATGCCTATTTGTAGGCATTCTTTGCCGACATCACCAAGTCCACCGACTTGGCTTCTTTTTCTCCAGCCGTGTGTGGCTTCATCTAGAATATTTTATATTGTACAATATTATTTTTGTGGTTATTGTTTAGCCATCATGCTCCACCACCATAGTCTAGCAACATGAGTGTTCTTGCTCTAGAGAGTTCTTCCAACTTCAATTCTCTTTGTCTAACTGACATAGTATGTTCTCCATAACTCTAGAACAATCCTTGTATTCATGATTCTTCTAGAACTGTGTAAAACAAAAATGGACATTATTTTTCAACAGAAGTAAATTGCAATTTCTTTGATAGTGGGACTGGAAACTGCACAGCAGAATCTACCTCTCATTGATGAATGTTCCATGCGGAAGATAGGCGCTTGGCAGACATCTTCAACGTGTACAAGGAACCGAACCGGTAATTTCTTGCAGTAATTTTAGTGCATTGTAAGAAGGCAAGTCCCTAGTAAGTTGTGATAGAACTACTCCCACGCTTCCAGGCAAATATGAAAGAAGAGTTTCTCCTCCCACCAAGCCACAAGGAAGTGTTACCACTTCCAGTTTACCACCATCAAAGTCATTACAGCTCAGCACTGCTTTCTCCGCTAATGTCTTTGATTTGATATAGTTCTTGAACACTTCCACATTAAAATCAAACACAGTGATTAAAATTTTAATCATATATAATCATAGAGCACTACAAATTAAGTCTTTAATTAGTTGGAGAGTAAGACAGTGAGAGCAAGAAAAGGTACCATTAAAAAATCAGTTGCACTAGTAAATGAGACATCAAGAGCTGTCCAACATGATTCATCAAGCAGGGTTTGAATCCAATCCGCAAAAAAGCTTGTGGTGTCGATCAGCCGGTGTTTGATCGAATGCAAGAATCAGCAATGTTCCTCACCCCAGCAACAGCAGCTTCAGCTGTGTCCTTGTAGTGCATATTCAAATGTCCAAATATTCAAGTTGAGAGACTGACTGGCTGACCTGAGAGCTTTTGGGGTTATGTTGCATTGGAGTGGCCACATGAAAAACAAACTCACACCCTTCAATGGCTGGTTCAAATTCATTGGGATCATATATATCTGCCTGGAAGAGCAATAACTTGCTCAGAGAGAGAGAGAGAGAGAGACCCAAGTTCCTCAAAGTGGTACGGACAATATGGCCCTTCTCTAGAAGCTTTTAAACAATAGAACAACCAATGTATCCAGAAGCCCCTGTAACACTAACTCTGTAAATTTTGTTCTTCTCCATTGTTGTTGCCCTGCTTATTTGTTCGGATTAATCGATATTATTTTCTAACCAGTCATATGTAACAGCATGTATGGTTAGAACTAGGTGGTCCACGCAGAGAATCAGAAACAGAGGAGGATGAGGTGCTCAAGTTGTCTAGTCCAGAAAAAGTTGCCAATGTCACCACCACGGCTCTAATATTATGGTGCTCCATATGATAATGCTACTACTTCTTGAAGGTCTTTCGTCCACATATGCAAATATAGATGATAACATAACCCTTCCCTTGCCCAACCAAATTAAAAAAGCAGGGTTTTTTTTCATAAATGGTTCACTTTTAAAAGTTCTCGAGTTCGAGCCTTGTGAATGGAGTAGCCATTATTGGGAGAGCTTGCCCCCCAAATGGGGTCCGACCCGGCTCGAGGGATTAGTCCTCGCCTACGTGCAGGGGATACCTTGGATTCATCCAAAAAAATTAGGAAATCAATGATGTATCTTGGGTGGACCGAGACTTTAACAAAAGTACTGCCAGTAGTGACTAAATTGATGTGTGGATCAAAAGATTAAAGACTTACAATAACTGATTAATTGAGTTGAGGGTTTGAGAATGAAGAATTTCAACAAATTCAGGGACCAATAAAAACGAGAAAACAAAACACAAGAAAGGCCAGATAGCTGTCGATTATCTTCATTCAATTTTATTTTCTCAGTCTATTTTTCATAATTGAGTCAATTGACTGGTGATTCCCTTCATCTTTATTTTCATTTGTTTTCCTCTTTTACACTTCTATAAAAATGACATGTCACTTTTTGTCGTGCATACATAATACAATGGTGATAGCGCAAAGCTGACAAAAATTCACTAACAAAATTTCAAATTTGAACCAATGTGTAAAGTTACAATCACTAATCTTCATTCTTACTGATCTTGGGTTGCCGCACAGTGCTTAAACCTAGTGATCTAAAACCAAGTAGGGCAACCATGTTACCATGAGATTACAAACTGTGTTTTCTCGTAAAACAGAGAATTTGCCATTTTAACATGTAGCAACAGAGGTCGCAAGGGACTAGGAAGTGGGTTCAAATGTAGCCTCTTCATGCCAAACACCGTTCAAATTAGACTGCCACAACCGTACTGCCCCATCATTCCCGGTGGTCGCCAATGTCATCCCACTCATGTCCCATTCCATCTGCCAGACCTGATCACAAAATGAAGGATTTTAATCAATTATGAAGATTCACAGCATTGCTTTCATTAGATAATTCACACTGTGCCCTACTAAGGCTCCACAATTGTATCACTCCAACATACACACTGTCATAATTCCACTTTTTCATGCTCAGATTAACAGTAAGGATTTGTGCTCCAAAACGAAATAATCAATAACATTTTCAATAGTTAGTATGGATACCTCGCTGTTGTGACCTGAAAGTTGTGCAATCTTCTCCAATGAGAGCCTTCCATCTGAGTCGGGGTTTAATCCAAGATGCCATATTGCTATTCCCTTGTGAGTGGCAACAGCAATTACCTCATAGGGCCTGAATGAAATTTATACAATTTTACTCTCTCATATAAAATGGAATGAGGCCATTTTTCCTTCAACTTTTATATGATGACAGAAAACAATATTTTCAGATTCCCATCAATTGCTCATCAGTGCTTGCATGAGCAATTAGACAATTTACTACCTGCCAATGTTTGGTGCCCATGCAACAGTATAGACCTGATCAACGTTGTCACCAGCTGAAGCCAACTCTGCAACTGGGAGCCATCTTTGATGAGCCTGATCAAATTCCCATACCTGTAAAGTAATATCATAAGATTATGCACAGTATCATTTTTGACAAGTTGACCTAGCTTCTAGACCTGAAATGATACCATAGTTTCAAAATATACTGCAGGAAAGAGAAAGTTGTGTATTGAAGGAGACAAGCCACATAAAATTAATGATAATTGATTAGGAAACAGGATTAAGCAGAATTTAGAATACCTTGGAAGAATTAAGTTGTGGTGTGTCTGAATTGAAACCCAAAACAAAGCTGGATTCCTGGCTCTCTCCTCTTTGTGGATTCCAAGATATAGATGCAGATAAGCACATGGCTTTCCCAAACGTAGACACTGAATCAATAACATTCTGAAATTCAGCCTGGGCAAAAAGATCATGAAAAGATAAGGTTACAGAGCAATTTCAAACTGTAAAAATCTGTAATGAATCTTTCTGCTTTATGCAGGTTGGCTTTTGAGTTGGTATATGCATGATATATGGAGTTAATAGCACAGGAGATGATTTATCATGGTTCAACTGGAGAGATGTCATAAAAAGTAAAAGGGTATAACCATGTCAAGAGAGCGTACAAGAGAAAAAGCCCCACAAAGAAGAGAGAGAGCAACAGAAACACAAGCTCATGGTCCATTCATTCTAAGTCGTGGCACCAAAACATACAATTAGATGAAAAATTTGGGAAATACGCATTCACATATATATATATACCTCTGTTGTCTTTTTTATATGCACGAGAACAATGTATCATTTTATAAGAAGGAAAACACCAATAATCTTATAAGACATAAAACTAGAATTTACCTACAATGTTTCAATTTTGTACAGAAATAACATGATTTGCAAATTTTCAGCATCAATTTGGGCTGCATAATAACATTATAAAAAAACAACAAGACTTATTTCCAGGCCGTAGTATATTATCAGACTGAATCGGATAAATGATCACCTGAAGTTGCCAATTCTTCAGATCCAAGGGATCTAGTAACTCATAGACCTTGACATGGCCATCAGAATATGCAGTAACCTATAAAATGAAACAAATTACAGTTCATGACATTTCATTGTCACAAGGCAAATGATGACCATAGTATGTTGCACAGATTTTCTACAAGGGCACCAACTGAATATACATGGCATCCTAAATGATATTAGAAGAAATTAATGAAAAAATCAGTACGACAATAAACATTTGTCACTTCCAAACTTGATTTTAGAACATATAACCGCCAAAACTAAAACGAAGAAACAGCAGCTATAAAA